GCAAATATCGGTTAGTTGTAAAAAAACAACAAAAAAAAAAACAACAAAAAACTTCTGTAATTTTTGTTACTTTTATCAACACAATTAATCTGTAATATTATCATAGAAAACTGTTATGAAACGACAACGTTAAAAACACTGTTTTTACATAACTGTTCATTTCCCAATTGTTTAGCAATTGTGACCAATGATCTATTTGATACGACACACATAAAAAAATAATCCATCTTACCAATCCATCTTATCAATTTACATTTGTAACAGTTTTACTGTATTAGTTTGTGCAAATAGAATTAGTGCACAGATAATGCTTATTTTGCCAACCTGATTCAGGTATTAAACATCTGATCATTTTCTCTAAAATGTCAATTTAAATATCAAAATTTTATTTGTGTGTAAAGTAAAAAATGTATCATATTGATGTTGTAGCAAACAGAGAAGTTTATCATCATTAATTTGACAATAAAAATAAAGATTTTTGACAAAACTTGAAAAACTAACTTTATCAAATATTGCCTAATCAAAGAAGACTTGTCCTAAGATTTCAATTTTGATAAAAGCGAAAAAGATTAAGATTTATGATGGCATAATAAAGCTTTTGACAAACTCAGCGAAGATTTAGACGACTCATAATCGCGACTGCCATCCGTCTACAGCTTACTCGCTGTTCATGCAGTAAAAAAATTTTGTAATTTTTTTTATAAAAAAGTTAAAAATTTTTTTTTAGTGATAACGAGCCTACTAAACTGATAGGCTAAACAAAACATCAAACTTATATATCTTATAGATCAAACCTTCAAGCGAGATATTTGCTTGCCAAAGTTTACATACAATGATTCAATAAAACTGAAAGCAAATTTTGCAACAACACTTGAAATGTAAACGTTATTGGGAAAGAATAGTTGCCAAAAGTGACGTAGTGTCTTCTATTAGAAACCATTTGATCTGTTTTCTTATTCCTCAATTTTGCAACTAATGAAATTGTTTTTCAAAAAAAAAAAAAAAAAAGAATATTTTTTGCCTTGAAAATTCTGCTGTTACCGCTGAGACTTTTCAATCTTTTAGACTCTATCCACGTGTACTCTCATATGGCTGCCTTGATAATAAACTTTGATTTTCACTTCCCTTTTAAAAATATCTAATACTTTTGTGTAGAAGAATTGGTTTTAGCTTTACAGTAAATTATAGATACATTCCTTTTACTAAATTTCTTCAACCCACTAACAAAAAGACATTTTGAACAGTTGAAAAGCAGTTTTAATAATAGCATAGTTAAAAAAAACCCAAAGATATACTAACGTTTTTAACAATATTTCGACTAAATCTTTTTAAAAAGCAAATTAATTTTTTTTATCTTGAACATTTCGTGAAGAAAACATAATTTATGATGCAACCCACGATTTCCTCTATCAGAGCTAACGGCAGGCTACAAACTGGAAACATTCAGACGCCATATGCAAGTCGCCAGTTTGCGCATAAGTTGCAAATGTAATTTAAAAAACTCGCTACAGATATTCACACTAGACTACTGATCAAGTTATCCTGATAAATTGACGACTAATTTAGGTTTAGAATAATTTTAAGGTGTTGAAAGTGCGAAAGGCAATTCATTTGTTGTACATCATGTTTCGTACACTGAAGAACTATTTGCGTTGCCTGTTAGACGTAAGAACTCTCATGTTGGTATTTTTTCAAAAAAGCCAAGAAACAAGTGCTCTCTTCGTACGTAAGAATTTGCAGTAGACGTATATCTTTAACAGACATCATCTTGTTCAACGTCATTTGCTAGAAGCTCTAATGGATTTTTTGCAGTCACTGTGGTCGATTCGTTTAATCATTTTTCTATTGTTTCGTCTCGCTATCGGAATTCCGTTGAACAACTGTATCACAAGTCCGGTTTATTATCCAAATTACTGTAGCTGATAGTTCACTTCTTCCAGTACTTCCTACAAAGAAGATGGTCATAGGCGAAACAGTTTGTTCATCTAGGGAAAGAGGTGAAAAAATAAACTGACGAAATAAAGCTGTTGCCATGTTGGCGATAGATTATAGTTTTTTTTTTTAAATTAGGCGTCAAAGAGCTTTGTAAATGGCAAAGGTAACAGAGTCCAAAGCAAAAACAGAATTGTTCGGTGCAAATTATGAAAACGAATAACAGCTATTTACGCTTAATTTAGCAAAGCAAACGTACAGCTCCATCTTGACTGCCATGACTAATCCTTGATTTAAATCAAATTAAAAGGCAACATATAAAGTCTAAGTTAAAAAATTATGATAAGAAAACGCTAAGACTGCGGCAGCTATAGAAGTTTGAAAATCTATTTAGAGTGAGAACTAAGAAACTAAAACTCTAGTAATTGTTCTTCTCATACTGTGAGGCTGTAAGATACTATCACTTTAAAACACCTTTAAATGAACTCAAAAGCTAAATTTTCTTATTCGTACAAATCTATAGCCGTTTTTTTGAAGGAAGAGAGTGCTTATATCAATGTATAACAGCATCAAAAATATAGTGTAATACAATTCTTCTAACAGCTTTAACCGTCTTAATATCATTTCTGCCACTCAAAAAAAAAACAACTAAAGAAGTGCAATAAAAAGTTTGAGCCGAGACTAGACTAATTTAAGAATAATTATAAGTATTGTTAAAAGTTTTAATGTGTGGCACTGAATAGACTGTAAATCTATAAATTTTAATTATAATTTTATATCGTCATCGAGTATTCAACTTAAATTTTTGAGCTGAAACTTTCCAACTGTTAAGCTCTATTAGAAAGATTTGCGGTTGTAATAAGCAAGACAGTACTACAACCTGACAGTACGTATAGCAACAGATTCATATTTTTATTCTACAGAATCAGCAAAAGCTTAGAAATCCCTTGTCTTTTTTATCAGTCGTTAAACTCTAATTTAACCTAAAAGTAAGTTTCAGTGTCAAAAAGCATTCGCTTATTTTTCAACGAGAAGGTAATCTTCAAAAAAGAATTCTCAGTTTATGAAAGTTTTTAGCACAGTTTTATTTTAGACTTTCCAGCCCTCAATTTTACAGATTACAGC